GATAAATGCATAAAAAATTATTGCTTTTAAAATTATTGAGTTGCCTCACAACACTAACAAAATGTATAACGCTATTATGAACATTATTAGATGATATTATTGTGAGAGTAAAATTTGTTCATTTACATTCGACAACGCTAGTGTCAATAAGACAGTTATCGATAAATTGTGTAGGGTATTGCAGTCCGATTTTGATGGTTATTTATTTCATATTCGTTGTATGTACTATATTTTTTATTTTAAATGTGCGGGATGGTTTGAAACATATTAAGAATGAAATTCAAAGAATTAAGGATGCATTAATATATATTGCGATTTCACCCAGTAGAAAACAAGTCTTTAATTAATTTTGTGTCAAATTTGGGGTGACGAATACGAAAACATTAGTTAGTGACGTATGATATAGATGAAACTCCACTTCCTTATTATTAAAATCATGCGAAAGTTTTAAACATTTAATAACTCAGTATTATAACAATAGGCATATTAAAAGTCATGATGAAACTATTTTGAATGAATCCGATTGGCTTTTAGCTTTTAAAATTTAAAAATTTTTGATAAGTTTTTATGACTCTACAAATATTTTATCTGAACTTTACTATCCCACTAATCTTATTGTGTTGGAACGTCTTTATTTAATTGCAAGAGCTTTTCATAAATATAAAAATGACCCTGATTTTAGTGCAATTATATATTCCATGAAATTAACGTTTAAAAAATACTGGGAGGACTTGCCTACATTATTTCCTTTAGCATGCATCATGGACCCTTGATACAATTTATCAGGTACTAAATATGTAATCTGTTGACGTCTAAAATTGAATGGACAAAATTAGAGCCAACTTAAGATACCAATGAACATTCAAGGGAAATAAGTGGAAGAGATTCCTATCATTGTCAAGCAATCTTCCCACTTTACAAATTATAAGGGATCTTTCAAGTGTTGAAATGAGTATTCTCGGTCCTTTTTTTTCAGGATCCCCCCTCCCCCTTGCATTCTGAACCTTTTTATAGGAGGAATATTCTGACGACTAGTACTCCTGTCTCGTCAANGGGTTGTTCCCTTTGTATTTCAGTTTTGTATTTTGAATATATTTTGAGTTTTGTGTTTTGAGTGTTTATTTTGAAATTGTTGAAAATGTGTTCTTTTTGACATTTTGAAAAATTATTTTGAAAACACTCAAAACGTGTTTTGAAAATTTTGACTTGATTATAACTAAAAACACTCAAAACGACAAATTTGTCTTTTTGAGATTTCTTTATAAATTTTTAACTTGTTTTAAAAAACGCGTTTTTGAAAATGGGAAAAAGAACACGTTTTTACTGTTTTAGAAAATCGAAAACAGAAAAGTCTTGAAAATGGTAAAGAGAACATGCCCTTAACTTTTGATACACCTATCACTTATAGGAATTTAAACCAAACTTTATGTAAAATGTATGAATTATATGCCGAATGAATGTATGCAAATATTATTCGGGTACCCTCTGCACCTACTCCTCTCACTAATATTGAAGAAGACAACGCTAAAATATTAACTTTATTCGAAGGCATTAACATGTATAGATATGATGCAAATGCAATAGGTTCTTCTAGTAGTAGTTTATCTACCGCATGTAATCAAACATCGGACGCAAGTCTAAATGTATTGTCTGTTGAATTAATTGATTATTTTAATTATAATATGCATAATAACAAAATAATTAAAAAAATTAATAAGAAGTAATTGAATTTTGGCGAAAGTACAATTGACGATGGCTGGTGATTTTTGCGATTGCAAAAGACCTACTAACACCTTCGGTTAGCATAACTTCGAAATTTGCTTTTAATGCAGGTAAGGGGCTTTTGTCCAAGGTCACGAGTCGATTCAAAGAAGATATTTTGAAAGTATAAATGTACGCGAGGATTAGGAAGACGCTCATTTCCGACTGCAAAATAAATATGTCAAAATTGCATGTCGTCAGATAAGTGATACGTAATTTAATTATATTAATTAAAATTTGTTATTTTATAATATTTTGTTTTTAATTTTTAAAATTTTTTTTACACGAAACAAGTTGTTCGTCTACAATTTTTAATTTCAAAATTTTTAAAATTTTTTTTACACGAAACAAGTTGTTCGTCTACAATTTTTAATTTCATCTATTCAAAATTTAAGTAGTTAATCCTCGGCTCGGATAAATAAGGAGGGTTTAATTAAAAAAAATTAACAAGCTCGCCTCTCGAGTAACGAGCTAAGTGTCGACGAGACACGAGCTCGCTCGTGATCGCGTGGACATTAGCTTGGCTGACCATTGTCACCCCAGGTGTCACGGACCGCAGCTTTACTTAAGCCCCGTGACCCTATCGCAGCCGCAGTTTGCCAAATTTCGGCCGTAAATATTTCATTTAATTGTAAAATAGTTCGAAATTAAAAAAGTTTAGTACGATTCCTCAATTTTTAAACGTCTACTCCTGTCAGTCGAGTTTTTGTTGCTAAGTCTATTACAAGGGGTATTAGTCTTTTAAACATCTTTCAAGCTTTCTATTCTTCGCCCCCTGCACTAGGCATTGTAATGCATTGTAATTTCCTTCTTTCGTCTATTGTAATTTCTAGCTTTTAATCAATCAATGATCAAATTATGTTCAATACATTTCAATTTTATATTACAAGTTTTCTTTAAATTGTGATCAAATTTTCCTTCGTCTTAAAACGATCGAGAGAAGAAGAAATTTAGTCTAACGGAGCATACTAATATCGGTATCCCTTCCGCGTTGAGAAGAAAGGAAACCGTGAAACCAGGGGTAACTTAGAAGTGTCTAATTTTTTTCGCTTCTTTAAACTTTAATCACCACCCCCCGGTCGAACCCACGACTTTTTGTGCAGATTCAAGTGGTAAAGGTACGATCTTCGAACAGAGATACATACAAATCTTCAATCTTGTGCGAGCATTTCTGTGTTATGTGTGATTTAGTTATTGGAAGTATCTATATTTTGACATGGGATTTGATTGGTTTACCGATTTGTTTGTTTGGAATTATAGGTTTAATTCGTTGACTACAAGAAAGCACGTCCTGTTTGGGTTTGAGTAATGAGTTTTTATTTTTATTTTTTTTCTCTCTTTCGAATTCATGTTAATGAATTTGGGTTAGGGTTGGGATTCGGTTGAGTGTGTATGGTGTGTGTGTGTGTGGGGGGGGGGGTGGGGGGGGGGGGGGGGGGGGGGGGGGGGTGGAGTCCAATAGGACATAGTGCTGATGTGTTGGGAATTTACTTAACATGCACGGCAAAAAATTTATTATTTTTCAATTCCCACCACGGATCTGCTTTGTGTTTAGATAGAAACTGTGTTGAGAATAATACATTTGATAAATTTTGCAAACTCTTTTGCTGATTCTCGAACTCCAATGATCACGATCTGCAATCCAGGGGGGGGGGGGGGGGGGGATTGAGGGGAAGAGATGAAACACGAAACAAACAACAAATGATTTACTTTTCTGTATCTATCTCCAATGATCTTGGAAGCAAATATGACTTGGTGAATAATTATTTTTTATTACAACCTTTCTGAAGTTCTCTAATTTTTGACTTGATTAGTTTCTGACTTTCTGGCATTATTTGGAACTCCTTTAAAAATTTTGTTCCTTTTAATAATTGGTTTACATCTGCCTGTTGGGCAAGGTCTCCGGACTGTTCTCTAACCATGAGTTACTTCGAGATGAACCTGTCCTTGACGTAAGTGTAGAAATTAGAATATCATGGTTCCCCTTATCCTCGTAATATAACGAGCGTGGGAAGGTTTGATTTAAAGACGCCTGCTTGACAACTTTCTTCAGAAAGAGGGAGTTGTTGGAAGAGTGTGATGTTCTTTTCGTACTCTCTATTTTGACTGCGTCTGTATTGGTTGGAGTGGATGAAAATTGTTAAATGGATTTTTGTTTTCTGTTAGAACATTTCTGAAGTTCTCTAAAATTTATTGGGTTAATTCCTTGATTCCTGGCAGTTATTTACAACTCTACTTAAAAGTTCAACATCCAAATAATTGGAATTATTCCTATCGAACTTTTCTGGTCTGGTACACAGTCGTCATCATTCATTTAGTTGAGTTAGTTGTTTGTCACTTCTGTTTTTCATTTAAAACACTTCTTCATTTAAATAGCTATATTTTATTGAGGAAAATAGTGCATGATCCATTCAACAGTAGATTTAGATGTCCATCATGTTAGTTCTAAACTTACGTGTTGGATTTGGATACTGTGTCCAAGAATATGGATCTTGTTAGGCAAAAACAGAATTATGTGTTAGTTCATTCAATGCTCTATATCTAAGCATTTCTCCCCTTTTTAGAGTCACTTGCTTTGCAATTGTGCTGCGTAAAAAAGTGTCTTCATGGAAGCAAATAATAAACAACATATGGTTTGATGAACTGGTCTTATAAGGTTGTGCATTAGTTCTATAGTTAAATGTGAAGCTATATGATGACAGGCATGCATCATTTCCCTGAATCATATAGATTAGTTGCTTGCTTTCCTTTGTTTCCTTATATTTGTCTTGAATGTAAATTGGCGAAGACCTTCATCTGTTGGACATGTTAATTTTTTTTATTTTTTAATATTTATATAGTGGTATTTTATCCATCTCCTCTGTCATCTGGTGAAAGTTCTAAACTTCCAATAATGTTCTTTTGTCAAAGTCACTCATCCCTTAATGTTTCTTGTCATTTGCGGGAGAGATTTAGCTTCTGGAAAAAGTAATCTGACATATTGGAGCTGCATCTTCGATTTTCATTTGTCTCTGGAGCTTCTTAGTGGCTTCGATGTTGACTCCTATATCTCTATATTAGCCAGAGAAACTGCCCCAGTATTTTCCAATTAAATAAAATGTAGTCTAATAAGTACTTTTAGTTCGTTTTGTTTGTTATGGAGCTGTCCCTGTTACTTCTCGTTGTCAATTAACATCTTTTTCTTAGTATCTGACTTTTCTATTATGACCATGCAAGGTTTTTAAGTTGCAGACTCCTAGATGGCTTCCTTCAAAGCATTTTTAAACAGTCCCGTTGGTCCCAAAACAACTCATTTTTGGGGTCCCGTTGCTAACTGGGGATTTGTTGTTGCTGTATGCTTCTCCACCTGAAACAACAGATTTATATTCATTTGCTTAATTGTCCCAAAGTGATGTTCTTTAGTTTTGCAGGGGCTTGTGGACATGCAAAAACCTCCAGAAATGATATCTGGCAACATGACTGCAGGTTGAAATATTGGCTTTCAGGTGTGAGCATTTTAATAAATAATAAGACTTATTAAGTTTTCTCGTTTGACTTTTGGTGCTGCAGCAATGTGTGTATATTCCGGGTTGTTCATGAGGTTTGCATGGATGGTACAGCCTCGCAACTATTTACTTCTTGCCTGCCATGCTTCAAATGAGTCGGTGCAACTTTATCAACTCTCCCGTTGGGCCAAGGGTCAAGGGTAAGTAATCTATGATAGGATTGATACATAAGCAGTTTTCTGTGTCTTTTCCTCGTCTCTTCCTTTATTGTGCTTTATCCCCATAAGCTCATATTAATGGGCTGCGAGAAAGGTGATATACTAGGAATCATCGTTGTTATTTGGTGGCCTGTGTTGGGCTTGGTGTTATCAACTGGGCAGTATCTTCCTTCTGTAGTGTTTAGTCTTTCTCTTGTAAAATATGATTAACCAACTATGCTCGTCTTGTTTGGACATACAGTAAGCAAACTTTTCATGACAATGTAGAACAGATCCTTCTCTACTTATTAAACTGTTTATTTATTCAGCCTAAAGATGTAAGGAATAAAAATACTATCTTTTTTTTTTTGGGTGGAATTGGGATTGCCTGAGCTGCAAGTGAAGTAAGATGGGTTTTCAAAATTTGAAAGAAAAAGAGAAAATACTGGAAAGAAGACTTATCTGCTCCTCCATGTAGTGGTGTCAACTTTGCCTGGCCGGGCTGGGTGTATGGAAGTCCGAGGATGAGACCCACCTATTGGCCTGAGTTGGCTTGACTTTGTGGCTGGCCATACCAAGCCGGTCTCGTCCCAAGGTAGGCCGGGACAGGCCTGTATTGTGACTTCTAGTCACTCTCAAATCAACTGTCTTTTTGGGTTTTCTTTTTCATTCCTCGTGAACTTAGATCATTGTATGTCTTGCTTAAGAGCCTTCATAAAGCATGCAACTAATCTATATACTTGTATATTTGTAGGTACTTGGGGGGAGAGAAGAAGGACGAGGCCTCATCTCAATGAATCAATACTGCCGTTAACTTCTTGGACAATCACTTCCTCCTTGAAAACCCCGTGCAAAATAGGAGCTTTAGATAATTAGATTGTGAATTTTCATGCAACTCTCTTCATTTCTGATCTTGAATATGGATTACTTACATTGATGTCACTAGCAATTGCTAGAACATAATAAAATGGTGTGATTGTATAAGAAACGTGATCAAAAACTCGCTATGCATCGAGCTTCATGAGAAGTTGTCTTATCTCAGTTCAATGTTAATTCAGAGAATGATGTGAAAATTGAATAGGTTGCTATTTGCCCTTCAATGGCCAACCCATCTCAAAATCTTAAAACATTAAGAGTGCCATCCGAGTAATAGCTATCTTAAGGAATAAGGATATAAATGAAGTAACATCAGCACAAAAATTTGGCATTTCATTTGGTAGCCTTCATAAAAAACAGTTAACAGTATTCTTTCGAAATTTCCTATTGATAAAAATAAATAAAGCGGCTAGCCAGATGAAACAATTTTAAATGATTTTACAAGAACTGTTCACACATTTATGTAGCAAAACTTGTTTCCAGTAAGATATTCTAGCATAAATCCAGGTGAAGAGTATAAAAAATCTTCAGCTTTTAATCTTCCTTGCTAGTTTTCTTGGATTTCTTTTTCTTGCTTCGACTATCCCCATGCCCTTTAGACGTCTTTTTCCTTTTTGTGGGCATTGCTTCATCTTCGTCTAGGCAAGGTACCTCGTTCACATCTTGTGGCTCGGGAACAGAACCAGCAACATCTGAACAAGCACCATGACATTGCAATGTTAAGCTAGAAAATTTGCAGCCTAAACTTTTCTGAGAGGACCTTAACTTTGTGTGGGCAATAACAATTGAAGTGCGAATAGCTTCTCCACCTTAAGCTGCCAAAACTATAGTTTGAAGAAGTAAAAAGCTGATAAAATTAATAAATACTCGACCTTGAGTATGAAAGTGAGAATCAAAAACAACATTGGTGAGATGCTGCTTCAAGAAAACCTGCATCCAATTAAAAACAGATACATTAATTGCAAAAATGTAATCTTCCATCTTTAGCAACCTAAGGATCCTTGGAAACGAAAATTCTCTTGCAGATCTCGGTTACCAGTAATGATAAGCAAAAACAAGTGATAACATACCGCAGACAGTAGTTGCCTAGAATGTATATCCCAAATGCGCAAGTAGCCATCCAACCCTGTAACAAAATCAAGTCATTCCAGCTCAAAAATCTAACTTACGTGAGAAACGTTGCAGAAAATCTGAACATAATCAAAGCGCAAAGATACAAATTATTTTGTTGAGCACTGAACCACCGATTTTTTTGAAGGATAAAATAACATATGCTGCAGGTCCATAGACTGTTCTCAAACAAATTTAAATAGACAACTATAAGACCCAAAAATAATGATAAAAATGAGGCTGCTTTCATGTTGATGTACTCACCACATGAGGCAATTACGGGAAGTTCTGGGTGCCTGGCTATTGATCTTATACTTCCGGAGCATTTTCCAGTGAAGCATCCCAACAGTTTCCCTACAATACTCAAATAATATACAAAGAACTAAACACGTCTATAATAAAGTCAATGATTAACATTTTCAAGGTATATTGGATTAAAATATTGTCAGTCAGCAAGACATAGCAACTGCACAGAAGCAATTGAATCAATTCAAATAAATTTGTATAAAAGTAAAACAAGGAGCATGAAAGAACTTGACAAAACAATATCAAAGGGTGGGAAGGTGGGAAAAGATAATGATACAAATTAGAGACTGAAAGTGCTTGGGTGCAAATTCACACATCATAAACCCAACAATCTTGCCAAGGAAGCATAATTTATGATGATATGCAGCAAAAAGAAAGAAAAAGCAAAAGGAAGGGCGGACTTTTAAAAATAAGTAAAGCGAAACAGAAAAAAAGAGGAGAACGAGTGTTTCAAAGTAACTATCAACTACAGATGGAAAAGGTTTGAACCACACCTGTGCGTATGTCAACAGAAGCAAGGTCACCCGAGCTATTTCCTATATATACTGTATGTCCATCAAGATCCTTTGCAACAGCCTTAATAGGGGTCTCTCGAAAATCAACTGACATAACAGGTCTTCTCTGAGCAGAAATGTCATAAAGACGAACCTGCCAAATTCACACAAGTAAATATCAACCCGTCTTTGTCATTCTTTAAAAGGAGCAAAACCCTTGACAAACAAATAAAATTTTACATACATTAATCATCCTGCACACTAAATGCCAAATATAGTCATCATAACAGACAACTTTACTAATGCCCCACTCAAACACTCATTAAATGACTAGGACTTCTCTTTACAGTGTCCTGCCCACTTGAATTTTCCAGTGAGGCTAAATCTAAGCAAACATTAATCTGTAGACAAACACTGCTTTACCATTTTAATATATTAGCATGATCCATCTGTACTTCTTTTACTATTTCTCTGTTCTCCCTTTACTTTGAAACATTCCTATCCGGTCTTTCTGCCGCACATGAAACAAGATCCTAACCATCCACAAGAATAATAATGGAGCCTCTTCCAAAGCAATTCTAAAATACAAGCAATAAAAGTAGCCCACTCACAAAATTTCTTATATCTTATTTGTTGGGCTTCAGACCAACAAACTAATATTAAAGTTCAAATCAGATTGAATTTAATATTCTTCTTTTATGCAATGAAATGCTATTAACTAAATATAACATTGTTTTCCATCAGTCAGTGGCAAAACAGTACATGCATTTCAAATATACATTCAGTGTACTCTATCCTTATCCACTGTGCATACCATTCGATTTGTGTAAAAAGGTGTTCGACATCCACTACAAAGGAAGAAAATTTCTTAGAAGATTTTTTGCAGAATTCTAACAACCTTTAGTCATGTGTGCCTCAGGTATAGTTGCCTACAAAATGCTTTAGAAATTTCACCACACAATCCCACCAGAGGAGGGACTGGCATAATGAATTTGCACTGGATAAAGTGATTATTTTTCTCCTATAGCCCTAACTATAAAAACTGCTTCCCTGAGAGAAACTGAAACTACAAAAGGTATTTGTCGTGGTATTAGAGGCGAACAGTAGGACAGTACCTGATGACAGTTGGTGCCAGCCACAAATTTATGAGGATCATCTTCACATAAGAATGTTGCAGATGTAAACCATGTTGGTGTAAATATATCAAGACTGTTTTTAGGGGGCTGCACAAGATGAATTCGGAAAACAAATTGAGACAATAATCTTTCAACCGAAAAGAAAGAACTAGTGAAAAACTTAGGGTGCTTTTGGTTTGCTGTTTTCAAGCTCGTTTCAGTTTTGAGTTTTACAAAACACTGAAAAAGTGTTTGATTTGGTATTTTCCAAAATTGCATTTTCGAAAACAAGGATAAACTTATAACATAAAACTCAAAACGCATTTTTGACGTTTTTAGTGAAAATTCTGAAAACATGAAAAACAAGCGTTTAAATAAATTTTTGAAAATTAAAAATTTTAAAAATAAAAATATAAAATTCTAAAAAATAAAAATTACAAATAATAAATAAAAATAGTTCAAGCTCTCGTAATCATTATTTGCAAAATAAATAAATAAATTTAAGTGAATGCAAATAAAAATATTCTCAGTCCACGTTATTAAATTTTATTTTTATTTTATATATTTAACAGTTCATTTATTATTTATTTTACTTTTGTGGCATGAAAAAATATTGTAAAATTCATCAACTTTAAAATTTAATATTACATGATAATAAATTAATATAAAATTGTTCTATTTTTACTGAAAACTAAAACACAAACAAAATGGGCCCTTTAACTTACCGATTTGGCAGCCCAAATTTTTGTGCACTTTTGAAGATCCCATACATTGACTTCAACTCCCTTCCTGAGTACGAAAACAGGAATCACAATCCCTTGGAGCATGATAAATTACCATCAACTTCAATTTTAACATTAAATACTTATAGAAACTCACCCTCCAAACAACGCATAGTTTTCATTCTCTTCCACTTTCGAGCACAAAATATTACCTGACCCACATACATTAAACGTTGTTGGAGAAGGATCACGGATAGAATCTGATGGAGATTTGCTGTCCTCAAAAGATTCTATTCTTACAGATCCATTTGTGGTGCATGCAAGCATTGTGCATGACCTAAATTAAGATAGTAGCAAATTGGTAAGTGCTACAGAATCAAGATCAACATCTTCAACAATGTAACAAAATAGGGACTACACGGATAAGTAATTGCAGCATGAAAAGTAGCAAAACAAGGAAAGCTCAATGTTGAAGAAGCTTAAGCCGTCCATGATGCAGGGGCATTTGAAGCCAATCTAAGTCCAGACACGGCGGTGCATAGGAATGCTTGCCAATCATTTATACAAGATACGTATATAAGAAAATGGTTTTGAAAAGAAAAAAATACAGGTAACTCCCAGCGCCTAAGACCTAGTAAAACTTTTAAGCTCAATGAAGCCCCAGTTCGGAGGAATATCTCCAAAGAAGTCCTTTTGTATTCAGTTGCACTAATTATTCGGCTCAGCTAAATACTATTTAAGTATTTATTCTCAATTTGAATTTCAATCATTCATTTGGCTTCGAGATTTTTTCATCTTTTTACATTGCAATTATTTATTAATCTATTGCAAATGTTAAATTAAATAGCCAAACCTACCAATATTTGAGAAAATTGTAGTATGTAGGCAACTATTGGAATCTACAAAATGAAAACAATCAATGTTGCAAGCATGAAATTATACTATTTTTCGGATTTTAATCAGTTTAATACTCCAGAGTGCCAATTTTTTTATTTTTAATTATTATATCTTTGTTGGCATTTACATTTTCAAATTGCCAAACTCAACATAACAAATTAGGCCCAAATCCTTCTATATTACTTCATTCCAAGTATCTGAACCATCTACATCTGTTCTTTCACAATTTATCATCAACAGACGACATCTTAATGAAATCCTAGATATGCTCATTTCTAATTCTATTGTTTAACATAAGCCCATTTCAAGATTTTACCTGCAAACTGCAAACACAGTGAAAGTGTATGTATATATATATATCAACTAACTAGAGTTAATAGTGTAATCAAAATTTTGGAGAAAAGAAAAGATGCTTCTCTTAACTTTAGGAGCTATTTGAAAATATTTCAAAAGAGTAGGGCTCCGACATCTTAAGTTTTTTTTATAAATCTAATTGTCTTTTGAATAACATAATGGACTTAAATCTTTCACTTTGAAGATATACTGATATCTTTAAAGTGGACTCGACACTTGATCCATACAGACAGACAACTCATATACAAGAGTTCACGTAGAACCAACACAAAGCAAGAGTACTAACAATTCCTGTAGATTGGTCCTGAAAAAAAAAGTGTCGATAACGTCCAAAGCACGAAGTAGACGATGTTCAATTAAGCAAAATGAAGGGATGGAGAAGGAAGATAAAAATGAAAACCAACAGCATGCAGCACTGCTATAAAACTATGCTATTAGTATCATTTTGTACACCAAATATAACTGAATACCCTTTAAAGGGCAAGGAAGCACAAAAGATTCCACATGCATAACCAGAAGAAGAAGGAAAAAAAAGGTTAAAAGGAAAGAGCCAATATTATGCAATTGCAGCAATACCAAAAATATGCCAGTATAGCTCATGTTATTTTCTTTTACAAGTCAGCGATAACTCTCTTAATGTCTCTAGGTTCTCTTACTTATTAAACCACAATGCTGAATCATGTTTAAATATATATTCTAAAATTTGCTAGAACTTTAGCCCCTTCTATGCTAGGAATCAACAAATGGTATTTCAGAAATAGAAAGTAAAATTGAAACACATTTAACAGATAAAATGTAACTACAAAAGCAAGTTATGATACCTTGTTGATGACTCCGATATCTGCTTTTTGAACAAATGCAATCCGGCGATGGGATCATCCTCAGGCCTAGTCCCGTCTTGACGGGCATTAGGAATGGAAAGACGAAGATCCCCATTTATAACACTAATCACCTCTATCTGTCAAGCAAATTTACAATCCAAAGAATGCTTAAAACTCAAGCAAGAACACATGAAACCCAACATATGTACTAGATTATTACAAGAGGAACTACTTACCAAACCACTTTTTCTTGCAACACCAAGCAGCTGCGAAGTTAAAATATAAGTAACAGAGCATCAGATCACAACCTAACAGCAATATTTGACTGGGAGAAATTGTAGAAAAATACAGAAACTGTTCAAACAGAAGCACAAGACGTAGAGACCTCACTCAATTAGTATATGATTTAATGCCACATAGAAACATGACAATCTTCATTTTTATAAGTTTGAAGTTGTCGCCAAACATACATGATATAGAAATATCTGCAGTACGTAAGCAGATAGGATGTGCAAGACAGAGAAATATATACATCTCACACAACTTAGAGCTTGATTACAACTTCAATATTAATATAAAAATATTTGAATTCATGGCCTTTAGTACTAAAATCTATATTTTCAGACAAGAAAAACGTATATCTAAAAAGGCAGTTGTACCTCTTCAATACATTGGTCATTATTAGCTAGTAATCAATAGTAGATCCCCACTACTGTTTTGACAATAAAAGTTCAGCTTTTTAATAATTTATTTCTTTATGCCATAAAGTAATCTTATTGATTGTCAAATTACTCATCAGTAATTTTTCAAATGTATCCATCCTGCAGTAACTACAGAGCCAAAATTTTAAATTCTTACAGATTTGCTAGTTAATATATAATGAGATGATATCAATATACATGGGTGTTAAGTCCACATTACTCTCTTAACTACCTTGAATTTCTTAATTTCCACTTCCGGTTGGTTCAATCGCACAGTAAACCCAGTCCATGGGAGTAATGTTGGACTCCGTCAATGAAGTCCTCCGTAAAAACCACAGAAAACTGCAACATTCTGACACTATTTTGGTGACGTATACCTCAATATCCGGTCAAAATGAAATTTAAAAGCTCCTCTCCCCAGTAATTCACAGCAATCCTAAGGTGGGTTTCAATTTATTCAATCAAAAGTTATGAGATGGCTTGTCATTAAACTCACAGCTACTCCATTTATAAGTATCCAATTGTAACAATAACACTACGGATTGTAATTTGCAAAAAAAAACATAGTTGAGTACAAAAGAAAAATTCCAAATAAATTGTATTTGCAGCATTTCTTTACCTTGGATATTCAAAGTCCAACTAAAAATCAAAATAAATAATAATAATAATAATAATAATAATAATAATAATAATAATAATAATAATAATTATAATAATAATAATAATAATAATAATAATAATAATAATAATAATAATAATAATAATAATAATAATTAAAGAGCATATATACATAAATAATTGCTAATTGATGAAAGGTAAAAGCAGGTGTTGAAAGTAGAAAAACAGTTGGAGTCTCCNTTTTACCCTTTACAAGGCCGAGAACGTCGGCGGTCAAAGCTCGAAATGGAGGGCAACCAGGACTCTCCACCGTCGTAGTACGCGGCATCTTTCTCTTGTATTGAGCACCTGATTCTGTAAATATATGTATGCAAAACTCTCGGCGGCTGTCTAGAGAAAGAAAGCTCGGTGGCTGCGGGTATTGCTGGTGATTTTATGGGCCTTTTCTTGATGGGCTTCAAGAAGACCATGTGTTTTCATCACTACTATATAAAATGAAAAAGTCCATGGATGAGGGATTAACTTTGACATTTGTAAAAATCAGATACTAAAGTTTTAAAATTGCAAAAATTAGATTTTTACTTTTTATTAATTAATTAAATGTTTAATTGTGCAATTTGGTCACAGATATCTTATTAATTAGTTAAAAATTAATTTCAGGTCATAGCTTATCAAATTAATTGGTCACGAATTATTTCGAGGTCACAAATCAAAAAATTTATAGGTTACAATTCAATTGACTTCGTTGGTCACAAATCAAGAATTTTATGGTCACAGATTATTTCTCCATCTCGAATTAAAATTTTTTATAGGTCACAGATTGAAAAAAATTTTTTTTTACTAGTCACGATTCTGTTACAGTGTCACATTCACAATTTCTAGGTCACAGACACCCGTCATCAACTCATCTCATCCCACCCACGACCTCTACCACGAATTAAATTTTTTTATGGTCACGGATTGAAAAAAAAAAAAATTTACTGGTCACAACTCTATTACAGCGAGTCACGGTCACAATTCTAGGTCACAGACACTCACCCTCAACTCAACCCACCCCATCCCACTCCACCCACGACCATCGCCACGACCACCCCCACAACCACAGTCATTGCACACAACCAATAACAAAATCACCGTCACCAAATCATCTACAGGCCCGCATCAGCACCACCGTCCCCACCACCTCAATAACACCACCACTACCACCTGCAAAATCCATCCACAACCCCATCCCAAATCACTGCACAACCACCGTAGTCGCACCAGCACTGCCTCCAACACCACCTCAACAACACCACCACTACCACCTGTAAAAACCATCCCAAATCACTACTGTCGGCATTAGCTCAGATCGCAGCTTTGTGGCACCACAAACCGCCACCACTACCACCCAAATCACACCACAAACCGCCACGACAACGCAAACACCACCAAAAAATTGAATTGAAAAATACCATAGCCATAGCCACACCAACACCACTGTTGAGAAGGGGACGAGAGGAAGATGGGGGAGAGGAAAAGGGAGAGAAAACGAGGGCGCTGTAAAATTATTATCCCCAAATTTAGGCAAGAATCATGTCTAAGACCCAAACCCTAATTTTTGTTTACGAGTACTCAAAATTATAATGAAGTAGGAATTTTATAGTGAATTAGAACACCTATCAGCACGAGAATTGCGTTTCTCTTCTTCAGAGAGTTGGACAGGCATTCCAAAGCGCTCAGCTCTCTTCACCTTCTTCTGAACATCAGTAGCTGATGTGGCGTCGTCAACATCATCGGCTTTCCCAGCCTCCGTAGTCTGCATAACTTATGGGGAAGATTACTTATTCAGTTGGTGAGACGGGAGAGAGGGGAAGGAGAGAAGGGAGAATGGGAGGCGATGGGAATGGGAATGGTGAAGAGGGAATTGAAAAATTAGGTTAAGAATGAGGTTTTAATATACTACCTGATTTTTGCAAAAATAAACTTAAAACCTGATTTTTAAAACGTTAAACTTGATTTTTAAAAAGGTCAAACTAAACCCCTGATTTTATGTAATTTTCCCTATATAAAAGAGTGAGTTTGATTTTTACTATTCATAAGCCAATTGGCCACCTAAGCCGAGCCGCGTTAGCCGAGCAAAGCATTTTTCTCTTCTTCATTTGTATACACTAACTCTCATACCTCATTATTTACTCCAAGCAAACGTCTTTTTCTTCTCTATTTGTACACTTTACCTCCCATACCTCTCTATTTACTCCATTCTCAACTTGCCCTCTCATTTGTGCAACATTTCTCGTGAATTCCTCCTATACACTTACACTGTATAAATAGGGAATCTCGACAATCGCTTCCAAATTGATGGAGACCCATATGTGCGCCATGCGGAGTAATGTTGGGCAGAGGTTGGGTGTTGCCGGAATGTGATTTTCAGACCGTTTTTGCTTCTGCGCTGACTTTGGAGTGGATTTCCGGCCAAATCTGCCTAAGTTATGGTCGGTTCCTGTTTGAGATATGTAGGATATGTAGAGGGCAGTGTGGTCTTCATGTTGGTGTGTTGGCCCGGTGGACATGGAACTACTGTTGTTTTCAATTTCTTACTTTCAAAAATCTATGGCTGCAAACGTATGTAAGCATTGTGATGATCCTGATTATATCTTGTTGTTTAGTATTCTACAACAATACGATTAGAAGAAAAAGTTAATATAAAAATAAAAAATATTACGGAGAATTTCTTCGCAAAGCACGAAGAATCCTCTCCGTTCAGAATGGAGAGCCTCCCGTTAGCGCACGGAGACCAACAGGTCTGCTTCTGAATGGATCAAAATGTCCGTTCAACACGGACCAACAGGTCAGAGCTAAATGGACCTGTTGGTCCGTTCAGAAACGGACCATTTTGAGTCCGTTCAGCACGGACCTCTTGTTAGTCCGTGCTGAACGGACTCAAAATGGCCAGTTCAGCACGGACCTAAGAAAAGTAATCAAGTTGTGTTAAAGGAGTGGTCAAATTTTGGAATTAAGGACTGTGTTAAATAGTTAATTACATTGCAGAATTTTTGGTGGATTCAAATTTTGGAATTCCAAGGGCAATCACAGTGAAAAAAAAAAAAAAGCACCGGCAAGAGTTTTTCTTGGAAAGTATTACCATTGAAGGTTTTGCATGTGGTCCAGTTCATTTTTCTTGCAATTCATGGGTTCAGTCCACGAAATACCATCCTGGAAAGAGAATATTTTCTCTAAATCAGGTATTAATTTAATTTAATTTTTTCACTTTTTTGTTTGATTTTCAATCTGCCAGCAATTGAAGATTTGACACACTAAAGTCATGTAAAATCTTCATATAAGACCATGTTGTCAAACAATAAATTCTGAGGTTGAGTTATTTTGGAGACAAACTACTGTTGAATTGGAGTAGTTCTCTCTATTTTTGTGCTAAGAAGTGGATTGGAATTAAATGAGAACATTGCATCTTTCCATACTCTTCCAATTTTGTAATCCTTTATTGCATTGTAAATTGAATGAAAGTTTGGTAAAATGGTAATTTTGATTACAATCTTCTGGAGGCTTAAAAATAAAAAGATAGATTACCTCTAGATTTTATGGCCATTTGCATTTAATTCTCGATTTCATCGTTAATGTCCTTTTTACTGTGAAATTTGTTATGTGGCAAATGATTAGATTGAATCCTCTTGTTTTGAGCTGTGTGCACGATTCTTTAGCAAGAGACATCTATACTTGTAGTGTTATAATTTTGACTCAATGGATTCGAATGTTTTTTTGCCTAAAATCTTGTTAAAAGCTTGAATTTCTGAAGCCACTATGAATCAAAAATCCGTTCTATAGCTATATGATCCAACCATTTGTTATGTAATGCATAGCTGGAAATCTTCAAGTCGAATTTATGGTTGTGTGAAATTTATGTTCTTTCAGGGTATATTTTCAGCAAGTTTAAATGTTTCTTTTTGATAAATTAAATGATTTTTTTAGTAAAAGAAAAATATATTCCTACCATAAAAAGTTAGAATAAAATATGGAGATGAATGGAAAAGATTGTTACCTAAGGGAAAGAGGTATAAAAGAAGTTGCATTTAGTTTTCTTCCTCGTGTGCATTAGAAGCCCACCTATTATCTTCTGACAAATTTGGTCTCCTGCGCGTGGC